ACCCCTGCAAGAGTCTCTCTCCCAAGTCTCTCCATGGCTCAGTCAAGGTCCAACTTGAGACTCGGATCAGCCCTGGTTCCCCACCAGGCTCAGTCACGGAGGCGCCCTGCAAGAAAAGGCCTGATCATGCTCAGCATCAACTGCCAATGGGAGATCACTCTGCTTATAGTGAATGCAGATATTCTCCGTAGGACGACCCGCGAGGCTATTATCAACCAAGGGGCTATGGTTTTGAAGGCCCTAGGTTCCTGATGCCGTACAACCCAGCCTTGTATTTCAGGGCTCGTCATTGGCCACCGTACTTAGAGGCTTTTCCTTCGCCTCAATACCAGAGGCGGAAGAGTATTTTTATCACCCTGATGACCGCCTTGCCCCTCCTCCATGTCAAGACCAGACAGGCTGACTTTGTCCACGGGAACCGTCATCCACTTCTGGTACCAAGACCCTTCCATCGGGTCCAACGTCCGGATCTTGACACTATCCGGAATCTGTGGATTTCCCGCCTCTCTCTCTGGATCATACTTCACGGACTCAGGAAGACGATCTCATTGATGATTTGACTCATCTGACTTCAGAGTTTGATGTGCCTCAGGCCCGAGCATCGTACACTCGATCTCCGGAACATGACATCGGGTTCTGACTGATTCGAGTGGGGATGAAGACGAGATCAGGGAAGAGTCTCCTATAAATCTTCCTACACCGATGCTGGATATAGCAGGAAGCCATCCTCCATCCCCTTTGGAATACAACACTGCTTATTCCCAGCTTATTAAGTGGATCGCGGAAGTTCTAGACCTTGCTGTTCTTCAGCCTCCAGCTGAGCAATTGGACAAGGTCTATGAAGATATAACGAAGGATCAAGTACCCCCACTTCGATTGGCCTACATATCATCTCTGCTGAATCTTCTAAAAGAGCCGCAGGATAAGCCGTTGACCTCTCACCCAGAAGAGTTGAAAATCTGTATAAAACACATGGGAAGGATACGGAGTTCTTATTGAAACACCATTTGCCGAACTCAGTGGTGGTCGATGCCACACAGTCTCAAGCCCGAAGTAGGTATGCCTCTGCGCCTAATGACAAGGAAGGTCGGATATTCTTTGGCCACCTTCTTTCTTCCGGTAGCAAATTACATGGCGGCCATGGGTGCATATCACCAGCACCTATGGAATGCTCTATTGCCTGCATTGCAAGCTGCCCCCAAAGATCTAAGGACTCCGTGCCTCTCTCATCATCAGGAGACCATGTTGTTGACTCGTTAGGAATGGATTGCGTCAGGCATGTAGTGGATGCCACATCCAAGCAATTGGCAACGGCAATCACCCTACATTGACATGCATGGCTATGCTCAGCTGGTATTTCAGAAGACGTTAAGGCCAGGATTGAAGACCTGCCCTTTGATGGGGTGGGCCTTTTCGACCCTAAGACTGACAAGATATTGGAGAGCCTTCTAAAACACCGGAAGATGGCGCAGTCTTACACATTACAGACCCAGCCTTGAACTGCTTGGTACCGTCCTTTCTCCTACCGACCTTATTCCGATTGCCAGAGATCACAGGCACCTGGCTTACAAGGTGAGTCCCGGCAGCAGCCTGCTAGACAATGGCCTCATCAGCAGGCCCACCGACAGGATCGGAAGGAAGCAAAATCTTTAACGTTTCTGGACCATCAGCACCACTTCCTGAATTAATTAGATTGGCACAGTTCTTCCACTCTTGGAGCACTATCACTTCCAACTCATTGGTTCTCATGGTTATTGCCACTGGTTATGCAATTGAGTTTCATTCCAAAGCCTTGTATGGGACTGATCAGGAATACAGCTACCTCCCCAATACTGCATCAAGAGGTCTCTAAGGATGTTATCACGCCAGTTCACAACCCAGGTATCCTACAAAGTTTTTTCTCACACTATTTCATCATTCCCAAGAAGGACAGAGGACTTCGCCCCATCCTCGACCTTCACTCCTTGAATTCCTATATTACACCTTGGCATTTTCTCATGGTCTCCCTGGACAGTACTATCCAGATGTTGAGACAAGATGATTGGTTTGCTGTTATCGACCTCAAGGATGCTAATTTCCACATCAGTATTTGTCAAGAACACCGTTGTTTCTTGAGGTTTTCACTCGATGGCATAATCTATGAATTCAAGGCTCTCCAATTTGGCTTATCCACAGCACCGTGGGTGTTTACAAAATGTTTGGCCCCAATGGGGGCTCACCTTCATCTCCACGGCGTTACTGTATTTCCCTACCTTGATGACTGATTGCTGGTGACGCCCTCATGTGAACAACTACTTCGTGATATTTCATTCACTTTATCCCTTCTGTCAAGGGACGTGGTGGTGCTGTGGGCTAAACCGCAGAAGCCTGTGCTGCAGGGTCAGAAGACCAAGCAGTCGTAAGATCGAATCCACGCAACGGAGTGAGCGCCCATTGCTTGTCCCAGCTCCCGCCAACCTAGCGGTTCGAAAGCATGCAAATGCGAGTAGATAAATAGGTACCATCTCGGTGGGAAGGTAAACAGCATTCCGTGTCTAAATCACACTGGCCATGTGACCACGGAAGATTGTCTTCGGACAAACGCTGGCTCTATGGCTTGAAGAGCGGGATGAGCGCCGCCCCCTAGAGTCAGACACGACTGGACAAAAATTGTCAAGGGGAACCTTTTTATCCCTTCTGTCTGACCTTGGCCTCCAGATGAACCGGGGAAAGTCCACTTTACACCCTACTCAAAGGGTCACCTATATTGGAGGAATCTATTGGAGATTCTATTTTGGGTTGTGTGTTCCCAAGGACAGGATTATAAAGATCCAGGTTATGGTTCGGCGCTTTACTGCGGGTGCCAAGGTACAAGCTCTACAGGTGCAAAGGCTGTTGGGTCTAATGGCTTCCGCCACTGCAGTAATCCAACATGCCAGGTTAAAGATGCGGTCATGCCAAGCTTGGTACCTGGCATTATTCAGCCCTCTTTTAGATCCTCCTCCCAAACTACTGACGGTTACAGTAGAGCTTGCAGAACAGCTCACCTGGTGGTCTCTCTGACCCAATCTTCTGGTAGGAAGACCCTTCGGGCCTCTAATGCTGACAATACTGATTATCACGGATGCCAGTCGGACAAGTCAGGGAGCCCATGTCCACAATTTGATAGCATATGGGCACTGGACACTGAAAGAATGCCACTTACACATAAATCTGCTGGAACTCCTTGCTATCTACAAGGCTATTCGAGCATTCGAGCATCTGCTTTCGGGACATGTAGTACAGGTTGGAACTGACAACACCACACCGTTTTTTAACATGAACAAATAGGGTGGCACCAATTCACTCCTCCTCCTGTATCTCTCAGTTCAGATCTGGGAGTGGTGCTACCAGCGCCACATCTTCCCGATTGCTGTTCATGTCATCTCTGCAGCCAACCTTCTAGCAGATCGGCTCAGCAGACTACAAGACTGCATTCGTGAGTGGTCGCTGGATGACACGGTATTCCAGTCCCTTTGCCACCGCTGGGGCACTCCAGGTATAGATGTCTTTGCTTCTGCTGTCAACAAAAAGTATGACCAGACCTGGAGTCCTTGCATTTCACAGCCTGGAGGCTGGTCCCTCAATAGCAGATGTGCTACGCCAGGCTCGATGACTGTCCACTACTACCACTTATGCCCGTAAGTGGAAAATATTTTCAGACTTTACTGTTAAAAATGACCTCCTTGTGGTACCTACCTTGTTTGATGATCTGTTAAAATTCTTCCTTCTCCTCTTTCAATGGGGGACTTTTGCATTCGGCCCTCAAGGTTTATTTAGCTGCAACTCTGGCCCATCAGCCTCCGTCTTCAGATGTGGCCACATTGTTTCGGCATCCGACATTGAAGCAGTTTTTGAAGGGCCTAAGGAATATGCGTCCCGCCTACAGACCACCCACCTTCAGTGGTCCCTGCAACTTGTATTCAATAAACTAATTTCTCCACCATTTGAACTGCTGGGCACCATTTCTTTGAAGTTACTTACCATGAAGACAGCTTTCCTCCTTGCCACTTCTGCATGACATGCTAGTAAACTGACAGCTCTGCGAGTTCTTGCAATTCCACCCTGATAGGTCACCCTCTTCCCAGATATCTCTCTCTCTCTCTTTTTGCCAAAGGTAGCTACATCTTTCCACCTTAATCAGCCCATAATCCTGCCTACTTTCTTCCCAAATCCAACTTCAAATTTGGAAAAGTCCCTTCATTCCCTGGACGTCAACAGGGCTCTTGCTTACTATCTCTCCCGGACAGCATCCTTTCGGTCCTCCCAAAGACTCTGTTTCTTTCCAAGGACAATCTAAAGGATCACCTGTATTACCACAGACGTTCTCTAGGTGGATAGTTATGACAATCAGATTGGCATATAATCTAGCTCGTACGCCTCTGCCTGCTACTGTTCAGGCCCACTCTACTAGGGCAGTTGCCTCCTCCACATCCTTCCTGAAAGAGGTAGACCTGACAGATGTCTGCAAGGCTGCTACGTGGTCCAAGCCTCTCATCTTTGAAACCCACTACCAGCTGCATGTTCAGGCTAAGGTGGAAGCTGCCATAGGAAAAACTATCCTGGCTTCTGTTTTATCGTAATGCGCACCACCTGGTGAGTCAGCTTGCTAGTCACCCATTAGTGTGCATTCACAAAGATCACAAAGAAGAGAGAGAAGTTACCTACCTGTAACTCTGGTTCTTCGAGTGGTCATCTGTGAATTCCCACTTCCTGCCCTTCATCCCCGCTGTTTGTCACATGTGCCATGTGGCATGCTGTGCAGTGGTGGACAGTTCTACAGAACTGAGGCACTTGGTGCCAGGGGTGGGAGGTCCCGGCACCATGTGCTTGAGCTCTAGAAGATTCTGAAGCTGCTCTGTGCAGGTGCAGATTAACCCATTAGTGTGAATTCACAGATGACCACTCAAAAAACCAGAGTTACAGGTAGGTAACTTATCTTTTTAAGGGCACTTAGGTATATTTTTTAATTTTTTTCCCAGCTCGAGATGCAGATGAAAGAGAGAAATGGATTCATGCTTTAGAGGAAACTATCCTTCGTCATACGCTTCAGCTTCAGGTGAGTTCACATGCAGTCTGCTTACACTCAGTCAGTTGCCAGAATAAATTTAAGGAGTGCCCAGAAATGTTTTACATGTTGTAAGTAGAAAATAATTTAGATCAAATACAATCCTAGTTAGTCCTTGCATTAATGGTGAAACTAAGTCTAAATGACCAAAATGGGCAAGATTCCAGCTCTTAATTTTCTTTTGGCCTAATTTCTTGTGGCCGAGACCCTGGCCTGAGGTGGAAGAGGTTTGGTTATGGAATAATTCCATCACCTTACCACTTCAGCCTGGAGATCTTAGCCAACAGTTCTATAAGCATGTCTGCAGACCTAGTTAAAGGGGCATTTCCTTGTAGAAGAGGCTTGTAATAATCCTAACCTAGACTGCCAGCACATATTTGAGTTAGGATTCCTCTGCGAGACATTTAATGCTTTTGAATGGGAAATACTGCACTGGAATGGGTAAGTTTCCAATGAATACTGAATTGCAGTTTATAGCAAAACTGTCTGGCAGATCTGGAGAACTAGAGATATTCTGGAAAAAATTTTACTGAGGTGTTCTATCTGAGTTCCATTCTATTGTATATTTCTGGCTTAAACTGCATTTTCTTTATCCATTGATTTGTCAAAAGAAGTCTTAAGTGTATCTAGAATCTGGAAACGTGTGAGGTGAGAGATACAGACTGCTCATAATTTCACTGGGGAACTGTTCAATGCACATGTTAACAGTTAATTGAAAGGTTCATTTTAGATGAAAATATTATTTTATGAAAATTGTATTGCCTTTTGCATGCCATTTGCATGCCCTCTCCACCACAAACCACCTATAATCCACTGATTTATTACAGCATTCTTTGTTGTTCAGAACTTTGTATATGAATATAGGGTTTAAACATACAAATGAAGGTTCTTACCTTCCCCCAGAAATGTGTCTGGCTCCCTTGCTGGGCGTTTTTAGGTGCCAACTTAAGACCTGGCTCTTCAGACAGGCCTTCCCTCCTGTCAATACCTAACTTATTTCGTCATCGTCTAGTCTAGTGTATTAAAATCATTGCTTTATTTTATTTTAATATTGTTGTTAGCCTCCCAGAATAGACTTCGGTCTAAATGGGTGGGATATAAATTAAATAAATAAATAATATTTAATAATATATAATTTGAAATTAGTGATGTTTGTGTTGCATATTCACGGAAAGGTTATCTGATTGTTATCCAAGCCCAACACAGTACTGTATACCTGTTCTAGAGAAATAATTTTCTTCCCAAGAATGTCATTATCACACAGTACTGTCACGAAAGGGTATTGTTTTGTAAACAATAGTTTAAACCAGTTACCTTTTAACTTGAGATAAAGACATTTTACCATGATTTTGACTATCTACCAACTGTTATTAATGGGTATGTATAACAACGCTGGCGAAGCGAGTCGGTATTGAGGTTGAAAACTGACCCCTGCTACGCATGCGCGTTTCACTGGGCTTTCGGTCCCTGTCTGTTTTCTGGGTTTCTGTGGCTGGGCGGCCCTTATTGTGGCGACGAAAATAACATTGACGACTGGCAGGGGTAGGGTTGCGCCCCCCCCCTCCGCGCGGCTCTTCCCCTATGGGTCCTCTGACTCTCTGGGGACGCTCTCCGTAGGGCGGCTGTTATAAGGTTGGGGGACGACTCTTTACGGAAAGGAAGGCTGATGCTGCCCTCAGGCTAAACCGCCGGAGTTAGTTCTAAAAGGCATAAGCTTGAAAGTTCCGATTCTGAGGCGGCAAAGTCTTTCAGTCCGTATATGACACGGAGGGCGGTTCTGTACACAGCGCTGCAACCGCTGAGCCGAAACGTTAAAAAGAGGAGGGCTGGGAATTTGAGAAGGCGAGTTGGATGATGAAAGCGGTCTCAGCTGGAAAGCCCGGTCGCGCGATAGCCAATTGTGAGGAAACGGCTGGAGGATCAGCTGAAGCAGGAGGCGCTCTGACTCCATGGCGCCGCGTGTGCCCTTCTCCGTCGCCACTCCGTGGCACGGCGGCCGAAGCGTGGCGGGCCGGCGCAGCAGCCCTTTCCTTTGAGAGTTGCTCTTCTGTCTTCACCGGGCGCGAGGAGTCAGCTCGGCCCCGCGGACAGACTGCCTGCCGGTGAGGGAGGTTCCCAGAACAAAGAGCGCCTTCCTTTCCCGCGGAAAGAGGAAGCCGGGCGCGCTGAAGGGGAAGGCAGGAAGGAAGGGGCTCGGCGGGCGGGCAGGGCTCTGTTGTGTCTCCCGCCCAGTCGCTGCGCGGGTGGTGGCGGAGAGGCGAGCGACGGAGGGAGGGCAGACCCGAGCCGGGCTGACAGGCACCTGACCCGTAGCCAATCGGGAGCCGCCTTGGCGTGAGGGCTAGCGCCGCCGCCTGAGCGGCGAGCTAGAGACGCGGTGTCCCTGCGGGCAGGGGGGAGCCCAGCCGGGAGCAGACCCCGCCCGGCAGCGTGACCGGGCGGGGGAAAGTATGGCTTGTGTGAGTAGGACCAGGCGTTGGGCTGGTGGAACGTCAGAACTGGCGGGCAGGCTGGAGGGGGCGCCCTCGGAACCCGGCGGCCTGCTTTGCGAAGGGCCACCCGGCCGCCTGGTAACGAGGAGCCCGCACGGAGGGAGGCGCGCGCGACGGGGATTGATCCCGGAGCCGCCACTGTGTCGTGACCGATGCGCGCCGGTGATAGCGATGGGGGAGGGGGTGGAGAAAAACCTTCGGGGAGCAGTCTCAGCAGGGAATGCCGCTCTGAGATTGATTGGGCCGGTGCTGTTCAGTAGGGATGTTCGCCGCCTTGGGGGACACTGTGTGGCGTTTAGGAACTGCGTTTCAGAAAAGATGAGTATTGTAGGTAGGTGCGTGCGATATAAAGAAGCGGAGCCAGATTTCGATTTTTTTTTTTTTAGCTTCCACTGACGGAACTGACTAGCTGCTGTCATTGATTCTTGTTTGTTGTTGCTGCTGGTTATGGTGATAGAAGGGGGGCTTTTGGCAGGGTGAGAAACGTGACCGTGAAGGACGCAGTTGTGCTTACTTATGTGCTGGATTGTTAATGGTGTTACTGGGAAGGAAAAACAGGTGTATTTTCCCCCAAATAAAAGAGTTGACTGTTTGGGTTACATAGCAAAGTAAAATACACTGGTTTGCTTCCAAATTTTTGTAGGAATTGTGTCGGATTCATCTAACACAGTGATGTCCACACCACTGAATGACCCTAAGAAATGAACTCCTGCAGTAGCTACTAATGCATTTTGTAATTACAGTAGTCCATCACATGCATAGAGATAAAATTATGTTCTCAGAGTGGTTGTCTGTAAGTACTTAAAATGCATATAAAGAGCCAGGTATGAGACGGAAGGGTAATGGAATTGAGTAGGCTGAAAGAAGGCATGGCAGTCTGGCTGGAGCCCAAAATAGAATGTCACTCCCTGCATCTCCTGGCAGGTCCCATTTGTGCTGAATTCTCATGACCTTTGGAAGTTTTGGTGGCTCTTCAGGAAGTCTATTTTTGTGAGGATCAGAAGCACTGGTGCTGTAAACTGTGGATAAGTAGAGAAATCGCTTTAGTTGCTTACAGCATCTGGTGCTCTGTTCTGGAAACTATGACAGTCCACTTACTTCTGAGTATTTATAGTCCTACAGAAACTGAAATCAGTACCAAAACCACTTGCCCAGTGTATTGTTTGCACCATAGTTCATCATTTCAGGGACTTCTTTTAAAATTGGAGAGTAAGTATAGCTCTTAGCAAATAAGCATACTTATATCATGAAAAAGGGCAACAGTTGAATCACTTTTAGGATCTTAATACTGTATATGTTTTGTGTCCAGTTTGATTAACTGATGTTGGGTTTGTTTGGGGGCAAATTTCAGAGGGATTCTTTGTTTTTATGGGTACTGTGTGATTTATTTTAATATTCCCACCATCTGACTCAAATATAAAGGTTTTTCCTGTAAAACCTAGCTAAATTAGCATTCCTGTTTAATGAAAGGCAAATTGGTGAGGTTAGCCCCACTGTGTTACATTGTAAAAATGAAATAATAGAAAGCTTGAATAACAGTAGTAGCTTACAATGTGGCCAAATTTGGCCAGCTAGCCATCAAGCTAAGGCACGTTTGGATTAATCCAATGGATAAAGACCCCATTGAGAAGCGTATGGTGACTAAGGCCATTTAGGCTAGCAAAGGCCCCTCAGGTTAGTAAAGGAAGACAGTATAAAATAGAGTCCTTCTCTATTTTATAAGAGTCTTATATATATATACTATATATTTTAAATTCTAGCTGTTTTGGAACTTGTTATATATGGTTATGAAGATGCTGTTTTGTTGGCTTGTCATTAGTTTTGTGTATTGACTCAATGTTTCAATGACCTTTGGCTAAAATTTGAATAAAAAATTGAGTTTGCAGTTGATTGCAGCTCATTAAAATGTGCACATTTTAACCCAACTGATTTTTGTGGGAGGAAATTAAGTGCCCACTCAAATTAGAAGAAAATAAATATAAGCTAGATTAGTCCTCCGATAAAACAATAAAACAATAGTTTTCTAAAATAATATTTGAAACAGCAGTGTTATATTCCATGCTTCTTAATCAAGATTTTTTTTTAAAAAAAAACTTGCAACCATTTTAGAGGAACGTGATGGTACTTGAAAGAGATGTTTATAATTGAATAGATAACAATGAATGGAAATCTTTTATAGAAAGACAATAATGGTTGTTGTGGGTTTTTCGGGCTCTTTGGCCGTGTTCTGAACACGGTCAAAGAGCCCGAAAAACCCACAACAACCATTAGATCCCGGCCGTGAAAGCCTTCGCGAATATAAAGACAATAATATTTGGGCATGCTGTAATAACTGAATCTGTTTCTTCTAGTACTCATTCACTGTGTTACACTGAATGAAACTTGTGCAAGTAAGCACTTGTTGAGCTCAGTGGAACGTTTCAGAGTACAGAAGCACAAGATTAGCTTGTTACAAGTTTTCTGCTTGTGCTAAAACCCATGAACCATACTCTGTTTTACAAGGAAATTTGCAAATAGAGAATTGAGTCACATGACTTGCTGTCAAGTTGGACTTAAGTCACTCCGGTAACTCGACTCAGGTATTTTTTCCAGTTTTTCAGACTCAAGTCGCAACTCAGAACCCAACCACCTTTCCTTTTCTCCTAAGGAAAAAAGCTTGTTCTTAACAGGACCTCAGACTTAGGGCTTGGTATTTGGGACTTGGTACCAGAGACTTGGACTTGGGACTTTGTTTCAAAGACTTGCCAACATACCTGGAAATTTGTATGGAAGAATACATCATTTGAACCTGCAAATCGACATAGAGAATAGAAAACCTGCAAGAAATAGTATTGAGCCTGTAAAATGGTGCAGTGTTTGTTGTAAATTGTACTGTTTTATGTTAGCAACAAAAGATACCAATCCACCCTTCACATCCTTAAATGTGTTACTAGGCAGCTTATTCTATAAGATTTCAGCCCTTGACTACTGCTGTAGTAATAGTTAGGGAAAAAATGAATAGCCATTCTGTGTATTCTTTAAACAAACCATGTTCAAATATTATGTGTTCATTTTTGTTTTATGTTCATGTAGGGTGTGGATCCTGGATTTGTTCCGAGTGTTCAGGATTTTGACAAAAAGCTGACAGAAGCTGATGCTTACCTACAAATTCTAATAGACCAATTGAAGGTATATTAGACATGTTGTCTGTCGTACTCTGAATGTAATTGTTTAATGACAAAACATGGTACTTGAATTTCTTATAACTTATGAAATATTGCCACTATAGGAATTCTTAGAGACAGTTCAGCTTGATTCTTGTTAGGTACATTTAAGCAATTTAGTTTAACTACAGTTCTGTAGTTTTTATTTGCTATATACACACCAATGTTTGCCACATTAAACAGATAAAAGTATATTTATGTATTTGTATAAGGCAGTCATCAGTGTGTATAGTGCTTGATGCACAGTGGTCTGTAGTAAATAATTTTGCATGTTTGCTACAGAAAACACTGGTACAGTTGTGGCATGTAAGCTTACAACATTAAGATAGTGTTATTTTTGGTCTAGTTTGAGTTGTTGTCTCTGCCCCTCTTGAGAGCTTGAATTCTGCTGCAACTGACACACATATTCCAGGATTTATACATTAGAAGCCCTTCATTTAGATGTAATACATTTTTGCAGCATTGAAACTAAGGTTGAGACCTATGCCTGACCAGAAAGGAACCTGAGGTTGTATGTTACATAAAATATATTTTCCAACTTCCAAAATAGTTTCCATCTTTAGATTACAGAGAGATTTTGAATTTGTTTTGACTTTTTAAAACTATTTTTAGAGAGAGATACCAATGACAATTCATCTATAGTATGGCCAGCTACAGTCCCGTTCTACCATCTATAGAAAATTTTATTATAGTATTGCTGCTCAGTTGTTTAAAGGAAGATTTCTGTAAGAAGTGTGTGTTTCTTACGTTTGTTGTGTTAGACTGTGAAAACAGTGGTGTTAGCATAGAATATATTTTCTGTGGCACAGTGGAATAAGTATTGTGTCATGTGATTCATCAGTTGAATCTTATCACGTTTGGTCTTGGAAATGGAATAGGCATTTGACAAGTAAAAGTGTGAGAGTGCAGCTGTCATTTTTCCTGGCTTAAAGGCTACCGAGTGTTGAATTCAATATTTCACAGACAGCACATAAATTGATTCTTATTAAAAATCCTAAAGATCTTTGGCTGGGACATCAGCTTTACAAGATATAAATAACTGAGGGCAGAAAAGCAACAGAGATGATAGAAACAATTACTGTACAGTAGTTATGAACATGGTTTGTTAATTCTTCCAGCCTGTCAAATGTAATATTCAGATTGCCAAATGAAACACCATGACATTATTTTATAGGTCAAGAAAATGCTCTTTTGTGGACCAGAGCGAGACCATTATAATGTTTAAATATGTTCACAAAACTTTCATTAATAAAGCCATTGGTAATTTGAATATTATTTCAGATGGGATAGTACCAAATAAATTGTCCCTGGTCAGCAGACTCTGAGTCAAAGTACTTTTGAAAAATAGTTTGCTTTGGTGTTTTTTTGTTTTTTGTTTGTTTTTTGTTTTTGTTTTTGTTTTTGCATTTGTGAAAGCTCCACTAGCAATATTTGTAACTGTCTTTCTTCTTTGTGGTCTTTGTGAATGCACACTGATGGGTTAATCTGCGTCTGTGCAGAGCAGCCTCAGAACTTTCCAGAGCTTGAGCATATGGTGGTGGGACCTCCCACATGCTGCCTTTAAACCCGCCCCTGCACCAGGTGCCTCAGTTCCTTTCTTGCCGCCGCTGCAGCAGCATCTCGTAGGACCTTCCCTTTGTTTTCAAATTACTTACCTATATATTTGAACCTCCCTGGCTTCATTTCGGACCGTCGATTACTCTTTCTTGCAGTGAGTTTATCTAAAGAATTTAAATGGACTGTTACTTGTGTTAAACCAGTTGCTGAGTTTATGGCCGCTCCGGGCCTTTTCAAGAGCTGTGAGGTCTATTCCAACAAGATCCTCCCTCTCTGACAGACATTCACAGTGCTTATTTTTTCTCAGAGAAAAGTACCAGCCAGTCCTGTGTAGAGTCTGTAAAAGCTTTACCAAACCAACCCTAAAGTTGAGGCTTCCATGCCTCTGCTCTTTTCTTTGGTAGAAGTCTCTCTCTCCAATTCAGGGAACTTCCATGAATACCCCGCAGGCTGAGAGCCAGCCCTCGGTCATGGGATCTCTGCCTGCTCCTAAGACCCAGAAGGGTGCTAAGATGGCAGCCAAGTCTAAAACATCTTCCTCGGGCTCGAGGTAAATGGCCATGGAACTGACACCGAAGCCTCCCTCAGTATTGATCCTGAAGAAAAAGAAGAAGGCTGTAAGTCCACACACTTAGCAGATATGTCAGCACCAATGCTGGAGACATCCTGGCAACATTTGGTATGCCTGAGCTTGTCATCGGGGGATGAGGATGTGCTGCCACTGATGCCGAAGGTCCTGCCATCCCTGTGTGTCAACGATCTTCCTGACTGGCGTAACACCTCGATGGAGGTGGCGCAGTTGGTGTGAGCTAGCCCGCGAACCTCTCTGTGCTCTATTGTACAGCATGCTTCCATCTCACTGCTGAAATTGATACAATTGGAGGTGCCGCGGAAGAGAACTCATAAGACTACGCATTTGGAGCCGGCTGGTGGGCCCGAGACTCATAGACACCCATCGATCCTGGGGCACTATTATGTACGCTACATGAGGTGGCATTGCTACAATTATCCTCCATATCTGGAATCAGAGGACTTTGAGCCCGACCTGCGTTTTTACCCAAGGGCCTACAAGTACGATCCGTACTATCAGTATTGTTGCTATTGGCCCTGTTCACTTTCACTCTCTCCCTCTCCCCCTCGACACCAACGCTTCAACGATCACCTGATTGGTATCAAGATGTCTACCCTCTGCCTCCACCTTGACCCCACAAGAGGCATCTGCCTGCAGACTATCCTTCTGCTGTGGGCCCTAAATGACCATTTTGACCAGACCCTGAGAGTGTTCAAGCAGGCCCGGGCTAGGAATCGCTCAACGTCAACACCTAATAACAAGGAGGGCCACAAGTTGGATGTTATTGGCCAAAGAATGTATTCTTTAGCCTCTTTCATCCTGAAAGTAGCCAGCTACTTTGCCGCCATGGGAGCCTACCATCACCACCTGTGGACTTGGCGCTACCTATCCTTGAAGCGGCACCCAAAGATGTCTGGACCCAAGGCCTATCATGTCATCACGAGGCCATGGCATTAGCTTGCCAAAAGCGTATCGCGGCTCAGCATACTCTGAATGCAGCATCAAAACAACTGGCCACAGTTGTTTCCCTGTGTTGCCATGCCTGACTCCGCTCAGGGGGCATTTCTGAGGACACGAGGCAAGGATTGAGGACCTGCTGTTTGATGGCATTGGCCTGTTTGATGGGAAAACTGACAACATTCTTGATTACCTGCTGAAACTCAGAAAAACGGCCAGGTCCTATTCTAGGCAACAGTTCCACCCTAGGGGCTCCTGGCACTGGCCTTACCAGTCAGGAAATGTCCAGAACCGCCAGAGACATCTGTCCTCAGCTTCTAGGCAAGTTGGCAGGCAGCACCCTCATCAAGAGGCACATCATATTGACTGAAAAGCCCGGCAACCTGTTTGACACCTTTATCTTGCCAAGCAGCTGACCACTAAATCCATCAGTGCCCCCCATGGTAGTGCATCTACATCTCCAAGGGATCACAGTGTCTCCTTATTTGGATGACTGGCTGCTGGTAAACACACAGCACTAACACTATCTCTACTATCAACCCTAGGCTTGAAGGTTAATTTGAAAAAATCAACTTTGCATCCTACTCAGCAAGTGGCTTATATCAGGGCAGTTCTGGATGCCTTCTCAGGCTGAGCTTCTCTACCTCGAGACAGGATTTCAAAGATTAGGTCCATGCTGCACTCTTTTTATCCTGGAGTACGGGTACCAGCCCTCCAAGTTCAGTGGGTGCTTGGCCTCATGGCATCAACCACGGCTGGGGTGCAGCATGCCCGCTTGAAAATGAGTTTACTTCAAGCATGATGCCTCTTAGTGTTCTCTGTTGCGCTAGATCCTCTGACCAAGTGTCTACAGGTCATGCCCGAACTGGCCGCTCAATTGGCCCGGTGGAACTAACTATTGAATCTGATAATAGGAAGACCGGCCAGTTGTCTCCATCAGTTCCGATAACTACAGATATCAGCCTGACAGGTTGGGGTACACACATGGACTCTCGCATGAGCCATAGCCCCTGGTCTCTGATGGAAGCGCATCTTCACATTAACCATCTGGAGCTCCTGGCGATTACCAAAGCGTTTCAAGCATTCAAGAGTCTCCTAGTCAATTGAGTAGTCCAGGTTGTGACAGACAACATGATGGTAGTATTTTATATCAACAAGCAAAGGGGCACCCACTCACCCCAGCTGCTCTACCTAGCCATTGACCTCGGGGTGGTGCTTCGTCTGCCACATCTAACCGGTGGGGGTTCATGTGGCAGCCCAGGGGAATGTTTTGGCAGATCGCCTCAGCAGGCTTCAGTCCTGTTCCCACGAGTGGGCTCTAGACAACACCATCTTTCAACAATTCTGCCAGTGATGGGATACTCCGCAACTGGACATCTTCGCATCACAGGACAACAAGAAGTGCAGGAGTTACAGCTCCAGAGCTGGGGTAGGCCACCTCTCCTTGGGGGATGCATTTATGATGAGTTGAACCTCACACCTGCTCTACATGTTTTCCCCTATTCCGCTTCTACAAAGAACTATTGTCAAGGTCCGGCAGGACAATGCAAATGACATCATCATAGCCCCCGGTGAAACCAGCTCAACATCCCTCGACACAGTGTTTCAGTTTCTACTTCGCTTGTTTCTACGTGGTCTCTCCCACTCAACTGCAAAAGTACAATGGTGCCCCGCTTGACGACAATAATGCGTTCCAGCAAAATTTCTGTTAAGCGAAATCGTCATCAAGCGAAAAAAAATCCCCATTGGAATGCATTGAAAACCAGTCAATGCGTTCCAATGGGCAAATACCTGCTTGTCCAGCGAAGATTGCCCATAGAGAACCGCCAATCAGCTGTTCTAAATTGCTGTAATGCGAAGCTTCTGTCCGGAAAGCAGCCATTTTGAGAAGGCAGGGAAGCCATTTTGCGAAGCCGGAAAAAATAGCGTTTTGCGAATAAAGGGTTTGCGAAGCAGGCTCCTAATCAACATAAAGCGGATTTCTCCCATTGGAACCATTGTTTTGAAATGTCATCGTCAAGCGATTCCGACGTCATGTGGCGTAAGCGTCTAGCAGGGCACCACTGTATATATGGCTGCTATAGTGGCCCGTCAGCCTTCTTCTTCTCATGCAGCTATGCTCTTTCAACATCCCACCTTGAAACAATTTTTGCGAGGGCTAAGGAACAAGTGTCCGGCCTACAGGCCTCTCATGCCACAGTGGTCACTCCAGCTTGTCCTGAATTGGCTTATGAAGCCTCCATTTGAACCTTTGGCTAGAGCATCAGACCACCTTTGACCCTGAAAACGGTGTTTCTTCTCACTGTCATCATGGCTCGAAGGGCAGGGGAGATTGTGGCCTTGAGGGTGGACCCTCCCTTCCTCTAGTTCCACCCTGTGACGCTATACCCAGATGTCTCCTTCCTTCCCAAGGTGTCATCCTACTTTCATTTAAGGTAACCAATTGTGCTGCCTACCATTTCCCCAGCACCTACTTCACCACTAGAGAGGGTGTTACATTCTTTGGATGTAAAGCAGGCCCTCTCTTATGTTGTTTGCTCTGCCACATTCTGCACTTCAGAAAGACTCTTTGTAGCTTTCCAAGGCAGATCTAAGGGTACACCGGTCAGCTCTCAGACCATCTCCAGATAGATTGTTTTGGCTGTACGCCTTGTGTACCAGCTGGCTCAGGTACCACTTCCAGACGCAGTTAAAGCCCACTCAACGAGAGCTATGGCCTCTTCAATGGCATTTCTCAGAGGGGTGGGTCTTGCAGATATCTGTAGATCTGCCAGATGGGCCACGCTGTCTACCTTTGCATGACACTACCGGCTGGATGTTTGGGCCAAGGCTGAAGCTGCAGTGGGTCGTACTATCCTACCTTCAGTGCTCTCGTGACATCCCTCCCACGGGTAAGTCAGCTTGCTAAACACCCATTAGTGTGCATTCACAGAGACCACAAAGAAGAAAAAGAGGTTACTTACCTGTAATTCTGGTTCTTTAAGTAGTCATCTGTGAATTCACACTCCCCGCTGTCCATCACGTGAGCCTCTTGCATGCTGTGCAGCAGCGATGGTTCTACAGAATTGAGGCACCCAGTGCCAGGGGTGGGGTTAAAGGCAGCATGTAGGAGGTCCCAGCACCATGTGCTCAAGCTCTGGAAAGTTCTGAAGGTGCTCTGCGCAGGCACAGACTAACCCATTAGTGTGAATTCACAATGACCGCTTGAAGAACCAGAGTTACGGGCAAGTAACCTCTTTTTCTTTTTTATTTCTAGCTTTTTGATGAAAAGCTTCAGAACTGCAAAGATGATGAACAAAGAAAAGCAAGTATTTGTGTGTGTTTGCATGCATGTGTGCATACATATGTTCCTTTTATTAATCCCCAAACAAGTTTTCTCAGTCATCACAACTGATGAAGATATAGCCAAAACAAATGTCTTATATTAAGTCAATAATTTAAATATAGTGTACATTGTTGTTGTTATGAAGGTACACTATATTTTAATTATAATGCTGTCAAGTAAATTCTGGTTTAAAGTGATGCTTTTTAGGGTTTTGCAGGTAGTATTCAGAAGTAGTTTACTAGTCCCTTCTTGGGGGGTGCCCTGGGGCTATGCAATCGAAGAGGCCATAGCTCTCATTGAGCGGGCTTTAACATGTGCCTTCAAATTCTGACTTATGGTGACCCTTTTCAGGGTTTTCCAGATAGCGAATATTCAGAAGTGGTTTACCATTCCCTTCTTCTGGGGGGATCCTGGGGCTGTGCAACTTGCTCAAGGCCACACAGGCTGGCTCTGCTCTTAGGAGGCACAGTGGAGAATCAGGCTCCCAACCTATGGCTCTGCAGCCAGATACCTAAACCACTGAGCTATCCAGCCAGTTTTACAGATTAAGTAAAATGAGGATTAAAATGTGAGATTTAGTTGTCAAATATTATCAGGCAAAATGCTACCAGATAATGATAAAATTAAAAAGTTCATGTAGAAGTACATTGGCTTGAGTCATTTACAAAGAGAGACTGACAATTAATCCTCTGCAGGTTTACTCAGAAGTAAGTATGGTTGCTTTCAATATGGCTTACTCCTAGATGAGTGGGTACAATGTTTTTTTCAGTGATAATCTCTACCACTGAGCAAGATAATATATCAAATTGCCATGTACCTGCCTGTTTCTGATATTGTAAACAAGCAGCTCTTTGTATGTAGAGCAGGTAATTTGCTGATTATATCTTACATTCTAATTAGTAAGCTGGTGCTGTCTGATCATTACAAAATCTTGCCAAAGTGATGTAACCTTGTACTTGTTTGCCCTTTAGTCTTAATTTGTTATAATGGCAGATTAGTGTTATAAGGGATGAGCTGTTTTCTTCTTGACTTGTTGTGGCACTCACTTTAAAAGCTGCTTGTTCTCAGGTAGAAGGAAAAAAAGGCCAAATTGGCCTTATCCTGAACTATTTCTTTAAACCTGCATGATTTAAACCTTGTTCAAAGCGTCATGAATTTCTTGCTGAAGCATAAAAAATTTTCTCCTTTGTACAAACCAATTTATTTACTCAAGGTAAATAGCAAGAGCTCCTTCCTAATTAGAACAAAAGACTGTTGAAATCCATACTGTTGTCTTTGTGAAATTTTCTTATCAAAAACTAATGTGTCTATAAGACCTATGGGAAAATCTAGGGGTCTGGTACCACAGTAATATAACACCATAAATCTGGAAACAAAACCACCTGAAAAAATAATGTTGTATGTATTGATTATCCATATAGTATATTGGTAGAGGTTAGAGCATACAATAGAATTAGTTTATTAGAGATGGGCAACAATTACAACATAGCTCCTGGGCCGCATGTTGAAATTGAAAATTAGAGAGAAAAAGTGTATGCAACACAAACCAATTTGGAGACTGGGCAGTGCATTGTTAAATACTTTTCCTGTTATTTTTTATTTCTGCAGAAGATTGAAAACCTCAAAGAAACAACCAGCGTAAGTTTGTGTTTAACGTTCTTATATGCCCAGACCAAAGTTCTGTTGTGATATACTGTGCGTATAAGGGCAAATGTGGAAGTGGTGTTTTTTATGATTGAGTGTATAACCCGTTGCACAACCTGGGTGTGTCCAAACATTCAAAGGACAGCTGACAAGACCATACATATCACTTGCATGGTTTCCAGTATACAGTACATTGTACAATTCCAACAGGGGTCTGGCAACAGTAATTAAAGTTTTGTGTATGTTCTGTGTCAGATTCCATTTTAATAACTTGTTTTCCAGGCAGGCCACTCTGAATGAGGTGATGAAAGATTCTGTCTACCAGTGGCCTGCTGGGAAGTGCAGACACTGTGCTCCTACTAGAGGAGGGAGAAATAGACAGGATCACACTATCATGAAGATGAATCATCCTTTCACTGTTTGTGGGCCAGATTATCTGCATTTCCTTGTAGAGAAGGTGAATGGAAGTGCAGGATGAGAACTTTTGTTCATTTTGTACTCTTAAGTTCTTTATTTATATTAGATATAAAGTACTGTTTCCTTTCAGTATGCTAACAAGCCAGGTGTTTAAAAGCTTGGAAGAGAATAAGTGCAATGTACTTCTTAGCTTTTTTCCTCCTGATAATAATGAAGATGGGCAGAGGTTGATATCAGTGTATGTGTTGGACATGGAGGGCAGTGCCATGTCCAATGTGCACTCAGTCTCAAAGCCCTCATATTCATTCTCTCGCACACACACACACACACACACACACAAACTACTGTACATACATAACTAGATATCCATTTTTTCTTCCTTATACACTCACACATGTACATGTATATAAAAAGAGAAATACAAAAGCTCGCCTCTACTTTCTTGGTGGAAATGGAAGTACTGTAGAAGGAGGCTTTAACCTCACCCCCTTCCATCAGTATCACCACAGCCAAGATTTTTGCTCCTGTGATTCATAGTAGTATGTGGTTAGGAATGTTAGTTGCATCAGAACCATTGGAAGTGAGAACAGATTTAAACTCTATATCTGGCCTCTTTTTGGGGTCACTGAGGAAAAAAATAACCCTTCTACTTACCTTGATGTGATGTCAAGACAATATTTGGCTGCATCAGGATTGCTGAGCAAGTTTTTTTAAAAAATATTCCCCTACTTTCCTCCAGATCATTCTGCTTATTAGGTGCTTGTGAGTATGTAGAGTTGTTATATCTGTGGTAAAATCACCATCCCATTAAGATCAATGGCAAAATAGTCACACAACAAAGAAATGGAAGAGTATGTGAAGGAGCTGTCTGTGTTCAGAGAAAAAGATCTGTAATCTATATTCAGTCACTTGTTTGATAAAAGCAGTTTCATATTACATGTATTTTCAGACATCTATGGCAAACAAGTATCAAACTGATAAAAAAAGACAGTAAATCTTTCCTAGTACTTTTTCTTTTCTTAATATTTTATTAATAGTAAAAAATAGAAATACTAAAGTGGTTTCTTTTTGTCCCTTTTAGAGCATGGTCGAGTCAATAAAACATTGTATAGTTTTACTGCAAATTGCCAAAGTAAGTATCTTTGATAGTAAAATAAAGTGAAAAGTTTGTATTGTACTGTGTTCTGTGAACTACACTGTTTTGTACAATTGTGTTTTGGTAATGTTGAACAACCCAGGTTCTTAAAAATTGGAAGCAGTATATTTGTGTTGCTTTTAGTGGATAAAGTAAATGCTTATTTAGGTTGTTATGTAAAACATTTTATAACTTGCTCAAGTATTTTCTCAAAACATTCCCTTTAAGCTACGTGGGTGTGCAGCCATACAGCGCTGCATCAGTGCCGCATAGCTGGAGCCAGTGCTGCCACCCATTTGGTTCCATCACACCCAAAACCCCATGTGTGCAGGTCAGGGTCCCCAACCAGTGCTGGCAGAAAATTGGAGGGAACGTTGCGTCCAATTGTTTGTTGTATTGTTCTCTGACAGAAAGTGCTTTCTTGGACTCTTTCCTCATAATAATCATATTAAAATAGTGATGAATATTCCTGTACTTCACTCAGGATCAGGTGGTGTTGGCTGTAATCACAGATGATGTGATTCTGGTTTTTATGCTTGGTTTGAGATGCAGATGAATAGGTTCTTTATTTCATCATCCATGTAAGTTCTAAATAGCTTTAATATATTAAAGGTACACTTCTTTCTGGTCAGTTTTACGAAAGCCTTCAAGAAAGTAATCATAGGTAAGCCACTTTGAGTATCATTCCTGGGAGAATGGTGGCATAGAAGTGCAGTCAATCAGTTAAGGCAGGAAAAAATAATATTTGCAGTTTATTTTTTCCTCAGCCTGACTAGCATGACTTGTAACAAAATTAGATTAGAGTACACAAGGATGACTTGAAGTTGTTTGTACCTTCAGTTTAAAATAGCATTGTTCTAGTACAGTGGTGCCTTGCTTAACGCTTACCTCGTTAAATGATGAATCTGCTTCACGATGTTTTTGCAGTCGCTATCTCAAAACAATGTTTTAATGGGTTTTTTTCACTTCCTGACGATCGGTTCCCTGTTTCGGGAACCGATTCTTCGCATTGCGACGATCAAAACAGTTGATTGTCGGGTTTCAAAATGGCCGCCTGCTGTGTAAAATGGCTCCCCGCTGTGCTTTAGGACGGATTTTTCGCTGCACAGGGAGCAGAAAATGGCTGCCCTATGGAGGATCTTTGCTGGATGCTGAGGTATTTAGCCTATTGGAATGCATTGAGCGGTTTTCAATGCATTTCAATGGGCTTTTTTATTTCGCTTGACGAGGATTTCGCTCTACAGCGATTTCGCTGGAATGGATTATCCTCGTCAAGCAAGACACCACTGTATTTAAATTAAAGAGTTTAAATGAATTGTTCTTTTAGCAGCAAGCATTAGGTACAGAAGTTATAAAATAAGGCACTTTTTGGCATGAGAAGATATTGCATATATGTAGTTAACATGTTGCAATGGATTTGCATGTATTTATGTACTGTACTCTTTTTATATATATATATATATGTCTGACCAACATGAATTGTAACAATGTATAAACACTACTAATGTGTTTTTCTGGCATGAACAAAATCATATTCTATAATACATGAGCAAAATTTTGTGTATGTGTTTATCTCTCATCATTGAAATGTGCATATGTTTTTTCTTTGTGGTTTCTGTGACACACACACATATGGAATTTCTTACATTTGCACAAAGTCTTCTAGAGCTGAGCAAGACCAACTGCTATTACTGTTCATGTTATTAATTCGTTCAGATTTCCTCAGGAAGTTTTATAATTCCACAATAGTGAATTGTATGTTTCATGATTGCAAATTTAGTCCCTAACATCTACAACTGAAGGATGTCTGATAACAGGAAAGGTAGGAATTCACCACCACTCAAGAAAGGCAGCACTGAACCAGCTGGTCAGATTCAGAATAGGGCAGTCTGTTACCTCAAATACTTAATTTTCTCAATCATATTTTACTCAGAATTTTGAATGTCAAGTACCTTTATTCAGATACGCGGGAAAAGGTTTATTGAACCTGAGGAAAGGGTTAGTCCTGTCCCTTCTCATCATTGCTCTCTGTTGTGAGATGTGTTCTCCAAATACTGTATAGATAAATGTTCTAAATATACACAACTGTAAGGGATTTACAACCTTGGTACTGTGTGCCTAGGCAGATTAATCCCAGTAGCCCACATTTACACAAAGAAGTTTCAGGACATACTGAACATACACACAGGAAAATATACAAAATTGTTACATTGTAGAAATAGCAAATGTAGTAAATGATAATAAAGCAGTAAATAAATATTAAAATATATTTGTTTCACAGCATGGAAAGACTTGCTCATGGAAGCAAAATGGCAAAAGCTGAGAGGCTTCTAAGACCCAGGCTCTTATTACTAAGTGTGAGGAAGCTATAGAGTGCTAGATTCCAGTTTCAGAAAGCACTAGAGCTAAGTCGTTTTAGATTCAGAGGTTGCTAGAAGTAGAAAAAGATGCTCAAAAGAAGGTGGGATGTCACATCTACACAACAAAGAAATGGAAGAGTATCTGAAGGAGCTGTCTGTGTGTAGAGAAAATACTCTCTGAAAATAGATCTAGACTCATGGAGATTACCTTTCCTTAGTCAAATTGTACCCCTGCGAAAGAGAGTGGAAAAAAACCACTAAATAATGTAGTGCATAAACTTACTATTTTGGTTTCTCTGCGACCTTTACTATATATATGGATTTGAACTGAGACATCAGTAGAAATACTAAAAAATCCCCAGGAGCAATGGGCAGAGGAAGAGAAAGAAAATGCTGCAATACTGCTGTCTTCTCTTGTTTCACTAATTTATTACAGCTGTGAGCATTCTTAACCCAGTTCTGTATTTTGTATTTCAGAATGTTAATGTAGACAGTGTTCAATATTTCTAAACTTGGATTAAGGTAAAGCAGTAGTTTGCTCCAGGGCCAATTACATTTTCCAACACTGATCAAACATTGCCAGATGATGCAAGTTAAATTAGTCTCAGAGTTCTAACTTTAGCATCAGATTGATGCTGTCTCGATAGTACCCAGTTAGCCCTGGAAAGCATAACCCTAGGCATAGTAATACAGTTGAGATTTTAGAAAAGAGGGTCTCCCACTGGCCACAAACCATTAGAATTCTTTGGTTGCTTAATTTATAATCAGTTTCTACTATGCCTGGAAAAGTTCCATGTTTTGGTCCATAGCTTACTAGAATCTCCCAGCTAGAAAATAGTGTTTCTGTGCTATGATTTTTTCAGTCCACTGACTGTATTTCAAAATCCATGGGAAAATCTGATGTTAACCATCCACAATCGTATTCTCCAAGCTTCAAATATAATAGTATCTTTAGAGCAGCAGTACTTACTTGACAGGTCAAGATATTTGTCTTGTAGAACCCAGTGGTATATTCCGTGACAACAGATGTTAGAGAAATCTAAATAGTTGCTTTTTTTGTCTGCCTTGTGCACTACTGAGTGGTGTAGCATAACAGGAATATTGTAGGAGTATACTTTGGTTTGAGAAAACCAGAAAATGCCTTATTTTGTTAGCAACATTATTTTAACATCTGCAAATCTTTTCCTATACAGTGGTGCCCCGCATGACGACGATAATCCGTTCCATTAAAATCGCTGTAAAGCAAAATTGTCATGCAAAAGTAAAAAACCCATTGGAGTGCATTGAAAACTGGTTAATGCATTCCAATGGGGGAAATACCTGCTTGTTTTGCAAAGATCACCCATAGAGAACCGCCGATCAGCTGTTCTAATTCGCTGTAATGTGAAGCTTCTGTCTGGAAAACACCCATTTTGCGAAGAGAAGCCAGCCATTTTGCGAAGGGAAGCCATTTTACAAAGCCAGGAAAATCGTCGTCAAGCAAAAAAACAGTTCCCGAAGCAGGTACCGAATTGACGTAAAGCCAAAAAAAAATAAAAAAAAATCCCATGGAAACATTTTGTGATCGCTATAGCGATCATAAAAAATTCATCATGGAAACATTTTGTGATCGCTATAGCGATTTTGTCATCAAGTGGGGTCATCGCCAAGCAGGGCACCACTGTATTTCATCCTCAAAACGGGAGTGTAGGTTTTCTTCAGTACAGATCACCATTAAAGGTCTAACAGAGGTTACTTTCCTCGTAGTTATAAAGCAAACATGTTATTGAAAACATAACAAATCACAGAATAAATGTGATTTAAATATTTTTAATAACCACACTGTTTTAATAACCACATGTGATTTAAATATTTTTAATAACCACACCAATAAAGCTGTTAAAATTTGTTATTGTTCTCAGTATTCTACTGTTGTTATGTTGCCTCTAGTATGCTTTTTGATAATGATAGTACTGTATGCTTAAAACTAATGACTACAGTTTGTTGTAACCATTCTTTAGAGACTAATTCTCGTAGTAGAATATTGAAGGATTCTATGTTTGTGCTAGGAAGAAGTTACTCTTTAAACATCTAGTGTAGTTTCCCCGAGCTGTTTGCTAAGTACACACTGCAGTTCTGTGTGCTAAGGTAGTCTTGCATAAAATATTTGTGACATGACACTCCTTGCTCTTTATTGCCACCAGCTCTTTGCTCTATATTCCTTTGATTATTTTGGAAAACATGATTTGGGAGAGAGATTGAGTCAGTTTCTCTGTTGCTACTTGATCAAAGCAGTAGTCACCATAAGTAATGTTTCTTGTTCCAAGAATGGCAGTTGAGTAATGGAAACCATCGGGTGGGCTTCTTCATTTGATGTGTTGCAGATTCTACTCTGGCCATTTCTATTGCCTTTTGCTCATACGGTCTTAAAGCAATCCACAGATAAAATTAATCATGCGCTGTCAAGTCAGTCCTGTCAAATGTGCTGTCAAGACAGCATATTTCAGGGTTTTCCAGGTAGGGAATACAGTGGTGCCCCGCATAGCGAGGTTAATCCGTTCCGGATTAACCCTCGCTATGTGAAATCGTCGCTAAACGGAACGTAAAAGGCCATTGGCCCTAAACTTACCGTTCAGCGAAGTTTCCTCCATAGCGGCA